ATGCTATGTTTGAATGTGAAATTGTCTTATAAAATGTGCAGTGGCATTTTCCCTTGTCTGTCCGGAGATGCATTAGTATTACATTCAATTCAATTTACATTCAACTGTTTTGGAGTGTAAAACTAGTTCATTTTAATTATATTTAAAAAGTTTCTTGTAGTTTTATTCAATTTCAGCTTCAAGTGCTTCACATTGCTTCAAAATTTACTGTAGAAGATGGATACATCTCATCATTAAATTACAATTTCATAACATTTCCAAGTTTCAAATGTCACGTGTATATTGTGCTATAGTGTGTAGACTTTTGTACTCATGCATAGAAAACATCTGCTATGTCTTACAATGGTTCATTCCCAGAAAGATGCCACTGTTAACACATGTGTAATGCATTACAGCTCATGTGTGTCAAATGCCTGACACATTTAAATGCAGACCCTCTGAGGCCGAGACAAAACTCGTGCCTGAGTCTCTCTGTTGCTACACATTGCATTCGTTTCCTGTTTGCTGTAGCAGTTGTTCACTAACAAAGACTGTGTGTGTGTATGAATGCCTATGAACGCCTCAGAGAAGTAAGACACAAAATGGGGCAACATTTCCCCCCAAAAACACAGCAAAATGTAAAAAAAAAAGTTCAGTGTTGAAATGCCAGGAACATTCTTAAAGTAGCGCAGATCGCACTCTTGAGTTTCTAAGCAACATTAGGCTGTTTCTACTATACATCTGGCATGGAGAGTGGGGGAGATGTACAGAGAGAGAGGGAAAGCAGCTTACTGTCAATGTTTATGTTCCTGTTTACATATCTGAAGCCACTGGGTTAACCTCGGACGTCTTAAATACAGTGGCACAGAATTGATGTCCTCGGCTTTTTCGTCAGACGTGTTTACACAGTGTATCTTGTGTCTGGTCTTTATCTAGTCATGTTGAAGAAGGCCAGGGTTAAAATCGTCCGTGCCGCCACACGGATCTTTGAAGACACTGTACATTTAACAGGTCTGTCTGCTGAAAGACGGCCAAAAGCTGCAGCCGAAGAGGGTTTAAAAGAGGAAATTGATGTCATGTTATGTTTGCAGTCAGTTATACATGGGATACAGTGCCACTTGTTGGTGGTGTGGAAGAGTGTGAACGCAGATGTAGGCTGTTACAAAGTTGATACATTGTTGTAACAAATATTTAAATACATTATTATTAATTAATATAAAAAACAATATTTGATATTAAAAATTAGTTGTTGACATTGCTTCTTCTATTGCAACATTTTATGTAACAGAATGTAGCGTATCACAAAGGTTTTTGGGACTGGCATTCTATGTCTGTTTCCGTGAGTGTCAGTGTGAACAGATGTCATTCTAACATTCTGATGAGCCCGCACTTGTTGTTAGTTTATGCATAAATATCTGCTCAGCCAAGATTTCAAGCGTATCTTTAAGGCCTCAGCCTCTACTTCTTGAAGAGCTTGCATTAAATTTCAGCTTGCAATATGCATGTGAATTCTGATTTGGTGCTAAAAGGGTCATTTTTATGTATTCAAACTACTGCGTCAGTGATTCAGCTTTGCCAAACAGTGTCTGAGTGGGTTTTATCTGGCTGTTAACAATCAACCCATCTGTTTACCCTTTTTCATTGATTTATATCAATACGTACGGTGCGTTGTCAGCGCACACCCATGTGCCCACACCTGTTTTGAAAATAATTTACGAAGATATAATTTGTGAATAACCGTTCTGTCTCAGGTGACGCTCGTGTCTCAGGTGTAAGCCTCAGCTGGTCAGCAGTTTGTCTCACATTAGCATGAGCTCAAAGCTGACAGGTATCAGGGTGAGTCACGGGCAGACACAATTGTCACATTTTGTTTTTACTCTTAGGTCAGTATAACTGTCATGTAAATCAATGTACACTGACCAGAATCTATTTTTGGGATTGCACATGTTCTTGTGATAGAACAGTCATCCAATCCTTGGTGTTAAAAACAAGATACGTCTTGTTATTGTTGTCTCATCGCTTATTAGTTTATCTGTATTCTAAAAAGAACATTTGTTAATGTTCACAGCCAGCTGTGTGTGAACATTAACACAACTAAGAATAGTTTTGTACTACTTTCCTGTACCTTTGGTTTGACGTTTTGCGCTCAGTCTGCCTCACCAGACTCAGTATACACAGGTACACACACACAGAAAAAATGGCCCCCATTAACAAAGTATTTTACAAAGTCCACACAAGGATAGCTGTACGGAGACCATACAGTACACACTAAAACACTAATTAGATGACTGCACTCAAGTCCACCAGACACCACTGTCCAGTTGATTAATTGTATAAGTGGGTGAGATGTAGTGCGTGTGTGTGATGTGTGTATGCCTGCGTTTGTTTTTGTGTGTGTTTGAATGTGTTTGTTTCACCGAGGGCCTGAAGCTGTGGTGTGGGTGGGCTTCATGTGTTCCACCTTTTTGTTAGTGGTACCACATCCTGTGTGTGGGTGTCACACAGGCTTACACCCAGTTACCAAGAAGAACAGCTATAGAGAACAGTCATAGACGCTGCAGTACAATGGTTATTCTCTGTTAGTCTACACCAGGGGTGTCAAACTCATTTTCACCAGGGGCCACATCAGCAATACAGTTCCCCTTGAAGGGCCATTTGTAAATGGAAGACTGTATAGATCAGGGGTCCCTAACCCCCGGTCTGTGGACCAGTACCATAGGTCAATTGGTACGGGGGTGCAGTTGGACACAGTTAAAGAAATGTACTTAATTTTTACTAATTTACTATTCAAAAAAAACCAGTCATATCCATATGCTTTCTTTATTTAAAGATAATCTTACAATATTTTAAAATAATAGGTCATTCAGACTCTGATACAAACAGAATATAGTCTAAAAGATGTTTTATTTTGAAAATGTAATGATCCTTCAATGCTCAGCACCTTGGTACTGGTCTGTAGTAATGGCCAAGCTCAGCTCAGTGGTGTTGCATAATAGCATTTAAGTGACCTTTTGCAAGTTAACAACAGTGATTATGTTAAGGTGGTAGTGAAGTTGTTACAGACCGTTTACATTTAAATACAGATGTCTGCCTAATGCCAGCTGTATGACTGTAGCTCAGTTGTGTTCCCATCAGCAGTGGTGTATGTAATAAAAGCAGTAAAGCTACTTCACTGCCATACTTCAGTGTGTGCAGGGATTGCCTGTAATTCACTTGAGATTTTATATTATTTAATATATTTATCTTATTTAGTTTTTCAGAACAATGTGGAAACTTAGGATTTGCAATAGCTCTTGTTGTCATTTCCCTTAATGTGTCATTTAGGTGTCACTTTTGACTGGAAACTCGCCTTTGAACATGACATGAGTCATCTGTCTGTATTCCGTCATTCACATCAGCCTTGTCCTTCATGAACCTCACAGTTGCTCATTCCTTCGGCATATCCAAATTCTCCTTCTTACTTACAAAGTCCTTCACTCATAATTCATCAACATTCACCTTCATTCCATCAACTCGGTCAACTTAGCTCTGCCAATGATGTCATTTTTTCCCCATAGCTGCTCCCTTTCACTGGGGCTCATACCATTGCCATCTGCTCCTGCACACACACAGAGGCAATCCACTAAACCACCACTAATCTACTATTTTTATTATTTAATTATTATTTATTTAATGATTTGTCATTTTTTGCCATGAGCATATGTTAATATTGTATTATTATCTTCCAGGTCATGTCTTCAAGCGTCATATACAGAATTAAAGGCCTTTTAACGCCATTGAACAAAGGTTAAAAAAAAAAAAACAAGTGCAACTTTTCAGCAAAAAACTCCATCCAGGTTCAAAGGAGACTTTAAAAAAAAAAAGTGACCCTAATAGCTTCATAGAAAATGGATTGTGAAAAATGAAAATATTCAAATTTTTATTGTTTAATTAGATTAAATAGTAATAACATGTGGTCAGGTAATGAGTTTCATATGGATGTTTTGTAGCCTTCAGAAGGAAACTTTTGTAATAAACAGCGTCAGCGAAAGTGTTCTCTTTATTGATTGATTAATTAGCAGCAACAAGCCAAAGGGCTTTGTAATCAGACAAACTGCATTAACAAAAGGCTTGGCCATGGCAAGCTGTGATGTGATGTGTGTGTTGTGCAGACCTTAGCTCATACGGAGTAGCCGCATTATTTCCCCTACAATGATATCACATCCTCTTCTGTGTCGGAGGGGAATAATTACAAAACAATTCTATATATCCCCACATAACAACGGAAGATTTTAAAGTTACCTTTCCTATAGAACAGGTCTACTGATAAGCACCTCTGTCACTACACTGGGAGGAGAACGACAAGTCGCGTTAGACTAACCCTGACCAGGTACTGACTGACATGCTTATGTGGTTAAGTTTGCTCTTTGACTTTTTTTGTAATTATTGGACATTTGGTTTTTTATTCAAGACAAATAAATTAAAAAAAGACTTTATTGCAGATACATAAAGAAAGTAAGTTTTTTTAGTCTGGCTCTTAGGTCTAAGAACATATTTCAAATGTTTTATGACTCGTACGTGTGGTGGTTTTTTTTTTTTTTACCTCAGAGTTTGACCTTCTCATACTACTAACAAGTACACAAGTCTACAGAATGTGGTGGTGAGAAGAAGGAGGTCTTTGTATTGCTGCTCTTTAAAGGTTTGGTAGAGTGTTGTCAGTGATCCAAAGAAATGCAAAGATGGAGCCGCCTACTGGTATGAAACTGTTACTACACAGGATTTAATCATTGAGAGCTTTATGAAAAACGCATTTAGAAACACACGACTTTAAAAAAAAAATAGTATTTTGTTTCACGGTATTTAACTGGTCTACGGTCCAGTTTCTAATGTGATGGAACCTTCAGTTTTGACAGTGATTGTCTGGTCATGACGAGCTCTGTTTTGTCATTTTAACAGTAATTGATTTCAGTATGTTTTTCACTGGTGTACTAATACTTCTTTTTCCTTTTGGACTTATTATCTCTTTTTGTTTTGTGTTTCAGTACCGGATCGGACAGCTGTACATGATCAGTAAACATAGCCATGAGCAGAGTGATCGAGGGGAGGGCGTAGAGGTGGTACAGAACGTACCGTTTGAAGACCCAACACACGGCCAAGGACAGTTCACAGAGAAACGAGTCTACCTCAACAGGTTGGTTTAGGCGCTCCCTCCGTTATTTTGCCACAAATCAAATTTTACATTTCAGCCGACTATAACTTCAATCGTATCTTTCTCTCACCCACCAACTCACTACCAAATCTAATCAAATACACAGTTAGCATAAACAACATTTTTATTTTGGAACATATCCTGCAGTTTATGTGTAACAATTTCTTATTTTGCTTGATATTATTTAGAATTGTATTGTTTATTTATTTCAATGAAGAAAAGTCTATTGCAGTCTGTTAAACTTTTTTCATTTCTATTTAAAACATTGTTCTAGAAAGGTTTATAGTACCTATATACCTTAAAACAGCAGAATATAAAAGAACTGGCATTAGTCAGAATTGTTGGTCAACTTCACAGCTATAGTCACTTTGTATCAAATATCCCTGAAAAAAAGAAAATAGTGAAAATTACACATGCTATTCCTGTTGTAACTTTGTGTGAGGGTGACTTTGTTGCCATTGTTCAGTTAGATCATCAGAAGGTAGAAATCAGGCACACCACAGTAAAAGTAAGTGCCATAGGACAGTATTGTATGGAAAAGGTTTTGTCAGCATTTATTACGCAGAAATCCAATGATGTTGCATCAGCACTGCTCAGTGCTGCTCTGCAGTGAAGAAGAATACAGGAGGCAGTGGAGGCAGTACAGGATTATAGGACGCGTCCCACTGCCTATAATCTGACCGGTTCAAATGATGAAATGCAAAAATGTAGGCCTGTAAATCCATGATAATGACCAATCCTTCAAAGGTCATCGCAGTAACCGGACCTTGGCTGGAGACTGCTGCTGTATAGAATATATCTATTTTATTTTAAAACTGTTGTTTGAAAGAAAAAAAAAACAAGACAAAATACAGTTTATTAGCTGCTTAAATTAGAGTCACAGAAAATACATAAAAAACACTAAACTGAGAAAAACCCTTGAGGTGACTACGAATAAATGCAATTCAGAGACCTCTTTTTTTCTGATATCCTAAAGCCAATGTAAATTTAGACTCATCCCGCAGACTCCAGGAAATAGGAACACGACAACAACTAAATGTTTCTTATCAATAGTGATGATCTAGCTAAATCTGGTTAATCAGGTCATCCCAAAGATAATATTTTATATTTAGTGTGTTGTTGATGAGTAGCTAACACTTTGAATGGCTGATCTGAGAGGACAAGCAGGACAACACAGAGGAAAGCTCTTACATAAGGAAACACGTTAACAATTGAATTCTAATACGCTGTTAGTGCAGTGATGTTACTAATGGAGTGATGTTAGGCTGGAGTTAATGGCAGAGTTGACCTTGGAATAACCAGCTGTTCTGCTTTGAACGATTAGTAGCTAGTTTAGTCTGGTAACACCCTTCTACAGACTAGTTAAAAATCATTTTTCATAGTCCTTATTTGAAGTATTCAATCAAACTAGTCTCTTCTACAAAATACAAGAAATGTCTTTGGCATGAAAGTCAGATCAGCCACCCACTGGGCCTGCTGAATCAGCAATGTGGGTTCCATAAGAGCAGTTTCTGGCGTATTTTGAAAGGGACATGTAAGGAATTGGAGAAGCCAGCAGATGGAGGAGTAGGAGTGTTGGTCCCTTTTGTTTTGGAGAGAGATTCATACAAAGAGAGAAAGAGAGGGAGAGAGAGTGTATGTAACTCTGCCAAAAATGCATGCAGTTTGATCGTCAGAGGGTGTTCAAAGCTGTCATGATTGAGTGGGAGTCATTTTTTTGTCCTCCTCAAGGAACTGTTTTTCATGTCAATCTTTGGAGGTTGAGCTGACAACGGGCTACATGGGAGTTGTGCACTTCAGTTTTCAATTATTTTTCTAGGGAAGTCAAAATGAACACATTAATCTGGTTGATTAATCTTGAAGATAAGTGGATATTATCTCTGTGGAGATATTGTGGAGGACAACTTTTCTGAAGTTTTGTAGGCAACTCTCAACAGGTTCTACATGGCACCAATATAAAGTATAGAGTATTCTAGTGCACATTTTTCTTGACTTTTTCTACATTAACTATTCCATTATTTGGAGTAGTCACAAAAGAAAATAGGTTTGAAACACATACATCTACCTGCTCTTGTTTACCTTTCTGTTCCAACAACATACAGATTGTGTTGTTTTATCTTAATTACTGAGGATTAACCAATCTTAATTATCATCACAATTAATCATAATAAATCGTGGTTAATCCATTACTACCCAACGATTAATCAGATCAGCTGTTTTAATTGTTTGACAGTCCTTATTTTACCTGACATCAGTGTTCCCACCATATGATTACCTTCCTGAACGCTGCTCTTTGTTTTGGCCATAGAGTTAGTTTTTACTCTTAGTTTTGTGTTGCTCTCCAGGGATGCAAATGTTTTTGAGGAAAGATTCTCTACATTTCTGCTAATGGCTATTTGGCTACACATGGGCTAAGGAAAACCTTTCTGTTTTATACTCATGTTAACCAGGTCTTTTTCTGCCTTTGTCCAATGTCCTTTTGCAGTAAATTACCCAGCTGGGCTCGAGCAGTTGTTCCCAAAATCTTCTATGTGACAGAAAAAGCATGGAATTATTACCCCTACACTATAACAGGTGAGTGGGAAGAGAAGATCTGTAAGACTGCAACACTAATCACTCATCATTTGTCAATGAGTAATTGTTTTAAATAGTTGTGATTATGACAACAATGTTTTCCGACTGTCAGTTGACAATTGTAGTGTGAAATAAAACCAAGGCTGGACCGAATAGAAACAAGAGTTTTGGCAACTTTTTCAGACAATGTGGTGCTACTGCAGTAAACCTGACACAGCGTTGAATATGTCTCTGTTGAACCTAGATTTTCCAATAAATATGCAGCGTTTTGTAAATGACCCAATTATAACAGTTGTAATTAATTCAAACACTTGATTTTCCCACTTACATTTATACCACGGCAATGTGTAACACTAATGTGTGGTTTTTTTTGGGGGGGGGTTCTCCTTCTCCGCTGTGACATCACACCTCCCTAGAATATACTGTAAGTATTATCTGTATTGTTTCTTGATTTTATTTTTAGGAAACAGTGTTGACCTCCTTCATGGTGGTTGTAGATTCAAATATTGGCCTTTCAATTTGTACCTTACAGAAATCTAGTAAAAATAGTTGCATTTATGCATATCATTTATCCCATGAAAAAACAACATTCATGGATCATCACCGAGACGTGTTAATCTTCCTTCTGACCCTCTGTCCACAGTGCTCATTCCTGCCCAAGTTTTCAATCCACATAGAGACAAAGTATGAGGACAATAAAGGATCCAATGACAACGTGAGTAGAATATGTTAAGAGTGTGTGTGTATATTTATATGTATATATATACTGTATTTGTGTGTGTGTGTGTCACACAGGAGGCTGCAGGTTTGCTATAGCACTATACTGTATACTTTATAAAAGAGCATAACGTACAGTGTTGCACTAAACAGCCAGACAGAAGGTCAACTTCCTGTTGTCAATTCTGCGTGTTTTGCTTCTAGATCTTTAATGCTGAGCTAAAGGAGCAGGAGAGGGAAGTGTGCTTTGTAGACATCGCCTACGATGAGATCCCAGAGCGCTACTATAAAGAGTCAGAGGTGAGCGTTCAAAGCTGTTTACTTATGTAGACTTACATTTGTGTATGTAGGTCAGGTCTCGTCCATTTGTGACAGAAAACTGCACAAGTGCAAACCGAGCTTCCTGAGTTACGTCTTATAAGATTAAAAATCTGGTTATATACTGTATAAATATACTCCATAGTTTATTTACAGTCCATTTAAACACAGGACTTATGTCATTGCAGGACTTGCGATATTTCAAGTCGGAGAAGACGTTGCGGGGAATGCTCCAGGACGGCTGGAGGGACAACCACGATCCCATCATGTGCTCATACAAACTGGTCACAGTCAAGTTTGAGGTGTGGGGTCTACAAACACGAGTGGAGCAATTTCTGCACAAGGTAGTTCCTCAGTGATGAAGCCTTTAAACCGACTCACCTTAGATTGTGTAATGTACCCCAAGAACACTGAACATAATCACGTTTGGAAATGTATTCTTTTTTTCAATGTGTGATTGTTGTGTCCTAGGTGGTCCGTGATGTCCTGCTTCTAGGACACAGACAAGCATTTGCCTGGGTTGATGAGTGGATTGGTAAGTGCTCAATGAAGAGCCACTGGCATATCGCAGAATTAAATAAGTATTTATTTGTGTGTTGTTCAGAAGGACACCTTTTTATAATCAAATGAGCTTCATTTTCCACTTTTTCCTGACACCCGACCTGCTGACCATCTGTGATAAAGTTATTTTACTGGTCATCCATTCTGAACTAATAAAGCTACACACTGCCTAACCAATGCACTGGTTGTGGTGTAAAGTGAGCACTGAGTCACTGGATCAGCACATGATACCAGTATTGGTATCGGTGCATCACTAGTTCCATGATGATTATAGTTATTGATTCGTTAACAAAGCTGTTTCGTTGACTCTAGTTTAATCACCCAAATCACCCATAGCACATTTCGTTGTCCATGTTCTTCATTTCTTAACCCTTCCCTCACCAAAGCCAGTCCTGATACAGTCTAATCATCTGACAAAAAGAACATGTTCCACCTTTACATCAGTTCTCTAATTTCTTGCTGAGCTCTCAACTGGATTGCTCACCTCAAGGATTTACCAACATTTCCATTCCCGTTCCAACCCTTTTCCCTTTTCCAGATATGACTTTGGATGACGTCCGGGATTATGAGAAACAAATGCATGAGAAAACCAACATTAAAGTTTGTCTTGGGCAGCAAGAACATTCCACAACAAACTCATCTTCAATGGATGACATAGACATCCATGACAAAGCAAGTGTATGTTTTGTTTTTTTAATTTTATTATTCTTTCTTCAAACCATTGTCCTTCATATGTCCCATATCTGGAACACTGTGACCTCTGACCCACACTGTGTCAAGTATATGTGACATATAAGATGAAATATATAAAATGTGTTTTGATTTCTTTACAATTCAGACATGACAATGGATGAGGTGAGAGAGTTTGAGCGTACCATCCAGGAGGCCACGAACCAGAAGATTGGGTTGTTTCCCCCATCAATCACAATCAATGAGAAGCCTCTGTCCTCCTGTGCTAAAAATGGCCCCGCTAGCGCCCCCTCCACTCCCATGTGCACTGATGCTCCCGAGTCCCTGTCTGTGCCCAAAGATCGAACACGCAAAACATCTGCTCCAGAAACCCTGACTCTTCCTGGCCCTATACCCAGTGGCGTCCCCCAGGGCTCTTCTCTAGGCCCTCTACCAGTGTCTAACCACCTCCAAACATCCATTCCACCCTCCTCCACATCTGACTCTGAAAATATGGATGAACAATCAAAGCAACCAGATGTCTTAGCAGACAAGTAGGAGCAAAATGACCTCGTCACAACATCGGTGCCCGAGCGTTCGACGTCCTCCAGATACGTTCGATTCCTAAAAACCCTGACCATGCAACAATTACTGTAGAAGTTTTCATTTGTGTTATTGAAAGTTAATTGTATGTCAAGCCATAAGATAATGGTTGGTTTACTCTACGTCAAACCAACAACTAGGCTTAACACTTCCACATCTTTAGACCATTTATTTTACTTTGGTTTAGTTACAGTTCCCTCAGTTGTATGATTTCATTATAGATCCCGTCATGTTTCCTCATAAGAGTAGCTTATTGATGACAACTGTTCAAATGCCTTTGAAATGAATTATTGACCTTGGCCAGAACTGTAGGAGAAACACTTAATGTATGAAATCATAAATTTACCATCAGAATATTGTGTCCTGAGTCTGTAAATCAGGTTGCACTCAATACTTCCACTGAAAACTCAACAGATTCAAGATCTGTCATAGATACAATCATAGAATTTATAGCTCAGGTCTCCCAGACTCTGCCTTGCACACACTTTAAAGGCAGGGATGATAATGCTGAAGCTACAATATCTCTCCCTGCTGATTGTAAAACAATCCACATTTTATACACACACACACAATTACAATTCAGCTCTTGTATGTACAACGTCACACTTTGTAACCCTTAGAATGTTTACGAATCTTCAACTTTCTCCTAAATCTGCATGTGTGGTAATGCACGGAGAGCGGATGAATTTAAACGTTTCCTGAATGAACTTTAAACATCCTATTTTTGACTAGCTTGGCTGAAATAATGGGGTTCATTTAATGAGAGTTGATCGTGATTTACTATTATCAAATCCAAAAGTCACATTTGTGTCACACAGGAATAAGGCCATGTTGGGACACTTGTGAGCTTGTAGTGCACAAAAGAAGAAACAGAAACTAGAGCGCATGCAACAAGCTGACTTGAGTATGTGCTTCGTCAGCCATGCAGCATCTGCAGAAATGCTGACACAATGGCTTTCCTGGTCCCGACTGAGCGACAGAACCAGAGCTCAAACGATGGTAGAAGACCGTCATTGCCGCACATATTCCCTAAATAACACACAAACAATGGTGGTGGAAGGCGATTGGTGTTTGATGGAAATCTGAATAGAGGTCAGTTAATATGCTGCATGGAATGATTATCACGTATATACATAATATATTGGAAGTATTCATGTTTATACTGTAAATGGCTAGAATGACAGGTAATGCAAATGTAATGTAAAAAAAATAGTGAACGCTGACTTTGAGTGTGATGTAAGCTCACACAGACGATATGCTGTAAACCTACAGACCTTTTCAACCCAGTGCCTCTGTATTGTCATCTCCATACATGTCAATCAAATATCTTTTTTTTGGGTCTATTTTGTAATAATAACATTGAAGCTGTCATAAAAATGGGCCACTATAATGAAGTCAAAACAACCATATCCAATGCCAAGTATATAGTAGGGATGGCTCGATCTGATACTCAGGATTGGTATCGGTCCGATATTGGTCAAAACTTTAGGATTGAACATCGAAAAAAACAACTATAGCTCGACCGATCTGATACCTGAGTCCAGATGCGACCTGCCGTAAACACTATCGAGAAGAAGGTATCGGATTGATCAGCAGGTACTTCAAGTTCAGTATTTGCACCGGACATGAAAAACTTGTATTGAGCCATCCATAACTGTTTATCTTGTTTAGTTTCAATTCAGGAATGTTATTTGCAGTTTTGTTCCGTACGATTGACAGTATGGTATGAAGCTATACTGTAACTTCGAATACAACAGGTTTTTGAGAGAATGGTCGCAGTGAAATTCAAATTTATGTTAATATTATGTACAGTTTTCCACTTCCTACCAGTTCCCTGTTACTTTAGCTTCTGTTTTGCCTTTTGTGGTGAAAATGATTGAAGACTTATCTCTGGCCCACTCACTCTGTTAACCTGCAATTTATATATTGTGATACTGTCAGGAGCATGCAGATACAGGACTACGTCTGTTCCCATGTTTGCTTTTGAAACAAATGCAAATATAATATCCAACTTTGTACCATGAACTCTGCTCTGTTTAAAAGAGTAACAAAGGCATTGTAAATACTGTGGATACTGAGCAGTAGAGTAGGTTTTTCTTACCTTTAATCTGTTTCAAGTATATTGCTGATATGAGATGAATGTAGTCGATGATTCCTGCAGGAAATAATACTGTGGACAAGGATTTTGTGAATTATCAAAAAAACAAAACAAAACAAAAAAAAAACAAAGTTTAGGTTTTGGGTTTAAAATCTCCTTGTTTAACTCAGTTGTGCGACAACATTGTTTGTACACATTTTTTTCCCTTTTTCCTTGGTCTTCTTTGATATTAGCTTTCTGTAATAATTAGAAGGATTATAGTCTTTTGTTGTTTCTTCTTGTAGTAAAGCTGCTGTACCTTTGATTATTCATGGAAGTCTTAATTAGCTACTATAATTACTATTTTCTTCCGAAGCACGTGCTCCTTCTGTCCTCTCGTTTGGTCAGGCTGTCTTCTGATAAGGGGCCTATTTAACCAGACAGCTGGAAAACTTGTGTAGCTTACTTTACTAATTCTGCTTTGTGAATCCCATTCTAAGTGCCATTTTGATTGGATGGATGTCACTATTCGTTCTTCCACTTTGAACTATTGTATTTGCTATATTTTTGCCCTAGTGGCACAGTTGATCCTTTTGTTGTAACTGCTGTCTTACTTTTCTGAAAAAGGGTGATTAAACTTTGCAAGCAAATGCAATGGTCTATGTTTGTCCTTCAGTAGTGTTACAGCCAGCCACGCCAGGCACAACACAGAATGACTAACAGTCAGAAAGGCTGGTGTCCAGGGGGGAGGTTATTTACAAAGGGATGCTAATAAAAATGAGGAATTTAAAGGGAAGAACTATGTGAAACAGATCGCATTGCAAACAACAGCATGGACTCAACAACATGAAGGACACCCAGCTCCCAAACCAATAAAACCCAGCAGCCTGCAGGGCACAGGTTAAATAGAGGTAGCTCCGCCCCCTGCAAACAGGCAACACCTGAAAACAATAAGAAGACACAGAACACAGGCAGAGCAACAAGGAAACAAACGGGACTCTGCCACCAAAGAGGGACGTAACAAGTACCAAACTACATTAGTACCAACATCCTGGGGGTAAATAGAGTTTGTTAGAGCCATCCAAATTCTCTCATTGATAATGTTATTTATGGATACTAACAAGACTAAAATTTTAACAGAAATATATGCATTGACAGAATGATGTGGACTGTGTATCCAATAAATTCAACCATTTATTGTTGCTCTATAAAGGGGTACCCAATAAGTAGATAAGTGTTGGTCGATTATCAGCTGTTATAATGAAAAATATAAAATATTAATACAATTTAATAGAGTGTAGTAGCGACCATATATATATGTAAAAATTATATCATGTGCCATGCAACTATATACAGTATGAATAAATATATATTTAATGTAGGTACGTACTGTATGTAGTAGCACCCAAGCATCATAGTGTGGGCACCAGTTGGCTGATAAATCCTCAATAACACTTGTAGCTGAGGTTAATTCTGACTTTTTAACCTCGATGACTTGACCTCCAGAAGCTTTAGCAAGGAGACGGTAGAGCTGGGCCTCGGACGCTGTGATACTCCGTGGAGTGGATCTGACAGATCGTTTGATGCCTACAACAACCTCAGTCAGCATAAAAGTAACCTGCATGTATGATATAAAAAAAATTACATGTAAGGTGTATTTACTGCTTGAAAACAAATCTCACCCAAACACAAAAAAATGTAAATGTGACCACGGTGCCACGAGAATATGACCATTTTTAATGTATATATGACTATATAATAAAATCATAATAACTGGGATTTGTTTTTAGCATTGATGGCCAAACAGAACACTTACTGCTGACTTAGAGCTTTCAATGAGGGCAAGTATGTTATTTTTCAGATGGGCGTCCTTGGCTGGAGTGTCAGTGAAGACAAAGATGTCAGAGTAAGGTGGAGCCGTGGTCAGGGCGAGCTGCCAGACATATACAGGACATGAAAACTGTTATTTATTGCTGATGACCAAAACAAAAAACAAAAAAAACTCAACTCAGGTTACTGTGTACAAGTGCAAAATGAAATTAGCTGTTTGTAACTATGTTGATACTGGACTAAAAAGTTCTGATCATCAACACCTGCAATCCAGACAAGCACAAGTCTTGTGTGTCACCATTTCCATTTGCATAGAGTTTGTTAATGCGGTCTTTAAACACGTCTGCATCCGTCGTCATCAGCAGGGGTCCAAACTCGGTCAATGACAATGAGTTATTACTATAAGGTAGTCCAAAGATTACAGTGACATGACGCTGCTATTTTCCTGTGTTACCCAGGTTCTCACCTGAATCGTTAAAAGGTACCAATATGTAGGCAGACGGCTCGTCCTCTGTTCCCCTCTTGGAGTCAATAATGTCAAAGGAAACTTTCTTTGCTGCGGCAATGTCGTCCTTCATGCTGTCTGCAGTGCCAATCACAAAACACAGGGCAGGGGACTGAGAGAGACCCATTAATCTGTAGGATCCAAGAGAGAAAAGACAAACACTGAATTCCTTCAAAGGTTGTAAGATCATTTCATTCTTGACATGGAAATGGACTAAAATTGTCAGGTACCGCAGGAAGTTTTTGTCTCCAACCGCTAGTCTGATGTCTTCCAGCAGCTCCACTGTGGCATTCACAGCCAAATCAGCAGCTTTGTGGTGAAGTGAGCCATGGCTAGACTCCACTTTGTCTTTATTGATGCCCCCCACGGGGTCGTTCCTGCTGGTTCGGTCCCAAAAACCTCCATGACTGCATTTACCTTGGAGCAAAAAAGATTTCTGTGTCATTACAAAACCATTAAACACTGGGGAGATCCGTATACATATTAAGGTCATTCCTTTGAGCTACCTGGAGGCTTCGCTGAGGAAAGGATACTGAAGTAGCCTGAAGTGAGGAGACCCTGCTGCAGGAGGTTGTCAGAACAGTTCTGTCCTGTACAGTTTCTACAGGTTGGAACAGTTGGGCCTGTGTACATGAAATAAAAACACAAACACAACAAAAATGTCACACAAAGTATATCTGATAAAATATGGTTTAAATCACCTCAGAATTCAGTGTTTGAAAACTGGACCGGTTTAGTTGAACACAAAGCTGAGCTGCTTTCAGGAACTGAACAAAGATATACATGACGATCTTGCTCAGGCTCTTATTTTAGTTTTTATAGTCATCTGCTGCCACCAAGTGGCAGATTATTTCATTGCTCTGCCTCTTACTGTCACATAGAGAACAAATATAAATGGTTTTCCATAAGTAATTAATAGCATTTAAACCAATTAAGTGAAATCAGATCATTTCCCACAGCACACTAATGTGCTGCAGTTGTTGGGGATCACTGATGTTAATAAATAAAAAAGAAGAGTGATACTCTACTCAGGAACTATTTAAGACTTATTTGTACTGCATATTACAGTTTGTTGTTAGACACTATGGTACTGATTGTTCCTGGGTTGGTGTCTGAGAGCACATGTCACCTCTGCATGTCATCACATGATGAGCCTCTGTTGACCTACAGCTGACAGATGCATTGACCTTCTTCGTCTTCGTTGACGATCAGCACATTCATATTGATGATCGGCATGTAATATGTTCCTAAGACAAATGCAGTTGTCACACACAGATATGTTCTCACCAGCCAGGTTCTCTAGAGGTTGGTCTGGGCTGATGAGAGCACTATGAGGAACTTCTTTCCCCAACTCCACCCAGTTACTGTAGCTGTAGAAGTCCTGGAAACAAAGGTTTGACATCATTCCTTACAACTGTATATTTTGATCAACGTATATACAGCCAAAACGATTCTAAAACAACACCTGTAAGGTGTGACACACTTGTCCCAGAATAAATCTTCCTGTAACAAAGCTCTCCTTCTCCACGCTGGTCTTGACAGCAGCCACACCTTGACAGCAGAGTGGGGGAAGAAAGACCGCAGAACAAACTGTAGTAGAACTGTCATATCCAATTGTACTGCTGTATTTTGCTGAAATAATACGTGTAAGTAGTGCAAAAAACCTGTATCACACTATATGCTGTTGAAAACAGATTTCTCCTATTATTCTGTAGTCCCAAATGTTTACCTGTGAGAATCTGTTAAAGCGATGTTGTACAGGACAGTGTACATTGTCATTTTTGCATGTGTACTAATTCTAATAATACACAGGTTTAATAAAAAAAAGTATTCTGATCAACTAAGAGGTGCATTAGATCACATGTGTCAAACTCAAGGCCTCAAACCCAAATGACCTATGGACTGATACTGGTCTACGAACCAGGGGTTGGGAACCCCTGATCTATACAAACGGCCTTTCAAGGGGAACTGTATTGCTGATGTGGCCCCCAGTCAAAATAAGTTTACATCATTAGAGTCAGACACTTTAATGTCTGTATAATCCTTTGACAGCTGGTGGATGTAGAACAGTTAATTGTAACATTCTAAAATGTCCAGTCGACAATGTGATGAAGGAGGTTAGGGTTTCCTTAGTACCTGAGCTGATTATGTTACGTCCTTCTTTGAACATCTCATCGTCAAAATGGTGCTTCCCACTCATGACCAATACACCGCGTCCACTAGTGCATTGCTCAAGTGTATAGTGGTGATGGAAGTGTAGAACATAAAGCTAGAGATTAGGGACGAGGAGGAGCTGGTGGAGGAGCAGGCTCTCTGCACACTGTCAGGTGACAGGCTCTCTGTTATCTGAACAAAGTGAGACAACAGACACTGTGGACGGCAGTAATATCCAAAACAAAAATGTCCCTGCTTTGTTGTTATCATTGTGAAAAGATATCTCTGTAAGGTCTCAAAGAAAGCCTTCAGGATTCACAGTGTTTATTTAACTCACAGTCAGACTGAAGTTCCGTCCCTCAGAGGCAGCAATATCACGGCACACCTCGGCCGTCTTCATCAGAATAGCCGTTTGTGTGATGTGAAGGTGGGTGCTAGAGTTTCCATTGAAAACAAAAAGTGGCATGAAGCAGTGGGTGAGACGTGGTGTGGAGAGGCTCACTGCCATCAGGAGCAGGACTCTCATCCTGGCTGTCATCATAACCTGAGTATGACCAGAGGATGGAGTTCACAAAGAAAACCAGGTCTTTTTCTGTTGGCACAGAAATATAAATTCAGAGACTGTGAACTCCTATTTAACTGTGTGTGCAGAAACCCATGTAGACCAGCGGTCCACAACCTGTATCAGCAGTTACTGTGGACTGTTAATATCACGCCATCGTTAAAGGATCATTAAAACCATCTTTCAGTCTTTCTTCTGTCAGTATCAGAGTCTGAATGACCTGTTGTTTTGAAAAAATAAAGGGATATGACACGTGTCCCACTGTGGACCGATACCAAATGACCGATGGAATGGCACCAGTCCCCTGACCAAGGGTTGAAGACCCGTGATGTAGACAATTCAATGCAACAGTAGAACTATATAGTAACCATATTTAGAAATGTACATAAAAAGTAGTACTTCACTCTGTACTGCATGACAATTTCCTAAAACCATACTTTTTAAATGTCAAAAATATTTAGCCTGGTATCATTTCAGAAAAGAGGTTATTGATAAATACATACTAATTACAATATTTATCATATTAAAGTCTCTCTATTTCTTTTAAAATGTCCTTCACTTTATGTGATTATTGGTGTATTCTCTTACCACGGTGTCTTTCTGTAGACTAGTCTTGGTCCAAAGTCCAGTTTTATGGTCGGAGACAATCCTGAATCAAACCTGGTGGATGGTATAACGTGCTATAGTTCTGCCTTCTCTCTTTGCCCCACTTGGTGTACGAGGGTTTCTGCTCATTCATCCCTTTTATAGGTGAAACCAAAGTTCATCTTGAATGCTTGAGATGATGGAATGTATTCCACCTTGAAGCTTTCACACACACACGCACACACACACCCCCCCTCTTTTTTCAAAGTATTTTGATGAGGCAATAATGTGGCTTGTTCTGACTCAGACTGATACAGCTGACTGTTGATGATATACAGAAATGAAAGATGATATAAAGACAGTGTTCGTGACCGTTACTACATACCCTCACTTCTTTGCAGAGTTTGATACGAAATTAGTTTAAAATCCCAATGACACGAGGCTCTGTGATTTTACCTGCCAATCATCTGGGTCAACAACTGATTACAAAGCAGGCTAGTCATTAGCCTAATTTCCACCGCTCCCATTTAACTTGGTAGTTAGTATTATCCTACAATGAAGAGCAACAACAATGAAGAACATCTGCATTTCATAACCATGTTACAGTGATGACATCATCATTTTGTGTTTTTTATAACCATGGATAGCCATGATCTTGTGATTTTCTCTTTAACCTCCCCGCCTGACACATTCAGAGAAGTGCTGAATCCACCTCTCCCAAAGCATTTCTTTTTCTGATGTGAAAATGTAAAAAAAGGGGAAGTGCAACATACTGAGATATTTGGGTTTTTTCTCAATAATATATTAAAAAATTACACACAGTTCGATTTATGACTAAATAAATTAAATCAGTCAAAATCCTATATTGACAAAGAAGATGTCAAACATGACAGAAAAGAATTCTGTACACCCAATGTTTTTTTATACAACTGGAAAAAACTCACAGCGTTATGTGTGTGTAGGCACTGCTGTATTTGACAGCAGGTACAAAGCCTAGAGCAGTAAGTATGAGTAAATCAGAGGTTAGTAGTGGCCTCTATATTTTTACTAATTCGAGGAGATAGTTGACAATTCTCAAGAAGGTGAGTTTTCAGAATTGACAGATTTTTATTTCTGTTGTAACAAATGTGACATACAGTTAAATAAATATTAATCGCACAATGGGAATAATGACACAACAGAACCGACAAGAACTTGTTTATTCAGCAGTTTTGCTTAAATGTAAAAACTTTGGGTTGATATTATACTCATAACTAAAGTATTCAAATATAGCAGACTGAGTATGGAGTTCACCTGTGTTTTGATGCGTTTGATGAGTTCAGTGAATGTGTCACAAGGGCCAATCTGGTGGCAGCCAATAAAAAAATGTGGATTTGAGCCAGCAAGGCATTGTTTGGTCAAAGTTCCAGCAAATAGGACGTCTTTGTTCTGTTGTTGGTGAGATAACTGTTGGTACTTTTGGCTAATTCTCCATGTACAGAGTAAGGTTTGGTTTTTTTAGCGTCGGCTAAGACGTTAAAAGACATATATATTATATAAAAGACATATATTTAGCCTTCATGGAGCCGCCATCATTTCTGAGAGGTGACTCAGTTCATTCTTGTTCTTTTATGTTCCTTGGAAGTCACCAGTGTGGAGGAAGACTCCTCAAATTAATGATTGTTTAGGTGAAATGCCAGAAGGGAAGTTGCTGACATAATGGTCCTGCTGACTGTGACTTAACAGACATGACAGTACGAGACTCCCCTTTATACGGGAAACTGTTGTGTGGTAATAACACATTATTTTCTCCACCTTACTTTGTCTCTGGACAAGTGACACGTGCCTTTGTAGAGTTTTCTCTGTTGATATATCTGTGTAATAAATCCTATTCTAAAAATAAGGTGACCAAACAACAAAACCTTGACAAACTCATGTTGACAGAGTTTTATTCTAGATGAACTGTCATCTCTGAGATGAAACTCTTGTTTCAGCTAAGTGTTTTTGTACATGTTCACGAACAAACCATGAGAAACAACTACAGCATAATGACCTTTAGCTTTCTCTACTAAACACGCTGCACGTGTTAGCTGTGTGTGAGAGCTACAAAAAGACGTTGGACGGCAAGATGCGTCTTATCTTACCAGTTTCTGAACAACTGGTCTACATTCATTCTGGATTTGATCACAGCAGATAAGAAACCTAGGTGTTGTCCTTCACACTTCTCTTCTTCTGCAACATCACTCTAAAGACCCTATTGTGCATGGATGGAACTGCCGGTTCTTCCAGTTCAGAGATATTTCAAAACACCAGAGTCCGGTGTTGACATCTGAGGTGGAGACGATCATCCAGGCCTCACGTCTTTTATCTTTGTTGAAATAAAAAGAAAATTGAGTTTAAGGCTCTCTAAAACTGAGCTCCAAAGCTTTTCACAAACCCAATGAATACATCACTCCTTTTTACCTGGCACTGGTTAGCTCTGACCTGTTGGACCTTCTTGGAACCTAAAGTCAGCAGGTCAGAAATTTGAAAAACAACACTTTGACCCATTTGAAAAAAGAATGTATGTTTACTATAAATTTAAAAGAAAAAAATCAGAAAACACATGTTTAATATAGTCTTGTCATTCTTAATTATTCAATTTGCAAAAACCATAAAATATTTGTATTATTGCAAAATAAATACAATCAAATTTCACTCACTGTACAATAACTGAAATGGTCTCACAGCACAACACACACTACTGTATATTTCACATCCATGTGTTTTGGTCAATGATGAACATCATTACTTTCTCGAGCAACAAAGTTTTCCAGCTCTGTGGAGGTAAAGGAGCGGCTGAATGAACCCATTGAAGGAAGTCAGATCAATGCAAACAGTTAAGATAATAAAAAAGGCAATTTCATGAAGGAAATGTTGCAGTGGAATGGCGATCATATACAACAAAGAGAAAATGGTCCTGAATATTGTGAGGAGGAGGATTTTTTTAAAAGCCCTCCGTTTCATGGCGTGGCTTTTCTTCTTCTCACATTTGCCCCCCGGACCAGGGCATTTCAGTGTCCAGAGAACCCTCAGGCAGCAGAAGAACGTCACAGACAACAAGAGTATGTGCTGGATGAAAAATGCATACATATACAAGGAGTGGATAAACGTGTACCCACAATAGGTACAGGAGGCCAAGGCAATCAGCCAGACCACAGAACTGCAGACCATCTTGTGTCTGAGGGTTTTATAGTGGAGGTAAAACACTGGGTGGACGACCCCGGCGTAGCACTCAACACAGATACAGAACTGGAAGAGAGGACGGGCGGTTAGGATGAGACCAAATGAAAAGATGTAGACGTTTAACCAGAAATATCTTTCCGTCATGAGATGAAGGAAAAAGCTGACACCGAATGATGAAAACAGGACGTCAGATATCGCCATGTTCAGACAGAAAAAATCTGACGTCAGTGTCTCGGCTGACCCTGTTAATACCAGCCAAATGAAATAAGCATTTGGAGGAATATTCTGTATCATGGTAATGATAACTGAATAGGTTGTTAACTGGAAGTACTCGCCATACAAGATGAATGAACCATTGGTAACCATGTTTGCCTAGAGAAAAAAAACCCAAAAACTATTTTAGTAGAAACACACACACAGGTACTGCACACACATACACATCTTATCATGTGTCATATTATCAACTTTACCTTTTGTCCACCGCAGTAGCACTGTGTATTTAAAGCTGGAGTGATGCAGCTGCTGTGTCTGGAGCATGACTGAAGTGATGTGATGGAAATCTGCTCTTATTATGTTATGGAAAGATGATATAACCAGACACACTGAACAAACGAAAACACACATCTGTGGTTATGTGGACATCTCATTGAATAACAAAAGCTTTCAAAGTAGGCCTACGAAAATATGTAAAACACTGTTGTGATTAGAGTCATTTCTTTTGCAAATGATATGACATCTATCTATCCATCCATCTATCTATCTATCTATCTATCTATCCATCTATCTATCTATCTATCTATCTATCAGAACACAATGACAGAATGGTTACGTATATCCGCTAGATTATGACAGATTGATAGACAGCGACTACTGCACTCTACTGTACATACATACTAAATAACTCCACCCTTTGTTGCAAAGACTCACACTGAGTTTCCCCATGGAGGGACGAATAATGGGCTTCAATTTATTTTATGTTGCAGTTGGCCAACAGATGGCAGTATAATACCATTCACGTACATGGCATAAACATTTAATCCTTCAAATGTTTTTATATGAATTATAGCGGTTATATATCTTAAATATATTTATTTTCATGCAGTGAAGGAAAATGAAAACTTTGGTCTCATTTGTAACGATTATCAGCCTGTCCTCACAGGTGCCTGTACTGTTCTGTAACTACACAGACGTCTGCAACATTTATCCACCTTAATAACCCCCCCCCCCACTGGTTAACTAGTGGATTCTTACAACATTTTGTTACTTTTTCAGGCTTTACGTTGATGATGTATCATGTGACTGGCAGAGCGGTGGTGACGTGTTTAGAGGCACAGATGGAAATGCTGTTTGTTTGTCTGTGTAAATGACCTGGCACGTGGTATGTGCTCTGTGCTGTACCAACCCTGGGATTATTGCTGGGAAGGAAATATAAATTCAACAACAACAACAACAAAATATATTAATAATTTTGTATTATTATTTATTATTTTAAACTTATTCTTTATTTTTGTCCAAAAAATAGAATCTGAGTTGTATGTTTTATGTTGCCTCTCTCTCTCTCTCTCTCAATGACCTCGATGGCAGTGCACATCATTATAACTGCACATAATAGTATGACATACTATTATACATACATGACATCATGTTTTTTTTTTATACGAAAAAAGCACATTACACATTTAAAAAAACAAAAATTAATATAATGAATTAACTAAAAAAGGTCAGAATATTTGGAAAAAATGACATTGTCAAATTATATTGACGTAATTACAGCAAGGTTATATATGCGTACATATAATTATTTATACATTATATTACAGATATAATTACACTTTTCTATAAACAAAACCTACACATCCCTCTCAGCTACTGTGTGACATTTGAGTATGCAGTAAGGTTCTGTTTTATTTGACAGAGGGTAACCGAGGAACCGACACCAAAGCCTGCGTACAAAGGTTCACTGAACTGTGCCTTGAAACGGTGAATCAGCTCCATGGTCTCTGAGACTGAGTAAAAAGCCAGAGTGTTGCCTGAATAGTCTAGGAAGACACCGATTCGTGACGCGCGGGGAGTATGAGGAAGGTCTTTGTCTGCCTTGTTGTGCCAGGCAGAGTATCCTGAGTCTGAGCACAATAGACTCCAGGACTTATCATTGTAGCCCAGCAGACTGTGTGAGTTCTTCCCTTTGCGACTGATGCTCTTATACGCCACTCCAACAGAACACTCCCCGCCCCACTCTGCCTCCCAGTAGAACCTAAACCCAGTCAGGGGCTCCTTACACAGAACCTGGGAGAAGCCGTCAAAGCGGTCCGGGTGATCTGGGTAAAACTGGACTGTTTTCTTCCTTGTGACCCGTTGATTACCGTCAGACAGAACCAGCTCTTTATAAACCGTGTTCGGGTCAAAAGACATCTTACAGGAATCTAGTTAAAAAACAAAATCAAACTTCCATCAATATCAGTTCACTATCATTATTGAACATTTATAATAATGATATTTTAAAAAAGAAGACTCACATCTTAAGAATTCTGTTCTTGTTTTAGGTTCCTGAAAATCTACTCTGGCTGGAACTGTTTGGATACACAAACAAACACAACAATGGACTGTCATTCATTTGTGTGTTTTATGAACTAAAATATCTTCAGTAAATGAACTCTGATTACAAGTCAAACCAACTAGACGTCCATCACTATTATCAGTTTGTTGCTTTACAAAATTTAAAGTGTACTGCTTAGGATACAATTTTCCAGAAATTACCTTTCAGGCGTTTGTTTCCATTTCTTGGCAGCAGTATGTACACTGGGGTTTCACTGACTGTAAGAGTTCCAGTGGCAGGTTGGTTAGTTTCTAACCAACATTTCTATCCTCCACATTAGATTTTTGTTTTTTTAACAACACACCTGTCTTGGAGATCTTGCTCAGCTCCTTCTTACATATGTCATCCACATGTTCCTTCATCTCTATTGCCGTCTTGCTCATCTCTCCAAAGGAAAACTGAGGGTTGATGAGTACTTTGGGAACCATAGCCTCAGGAGGAACGCACAATGTTGGGAAATTCTGCTTCACAGAACAAAACAGGAAAAGCTTTACGTTTAAGAACCGGACTCTTTACAGACTGAATGCTACAAACACAGGGGTTGTCAGGTTGGGGTTATTGTTGTCCCCATAAATTTATGTTTGTTTACATGCACCAGTTGTACGCCATTTTTGTACAACATTTTTTTTGCTCTTCATTATGATTCTGATACACAAGTCAGATGTTTTTATGCTCTGTATTATGACGTGTTAGCATAGGTGAGTTCAGAGTTACGCCGGAAATCAAATTATGTGCTATGCAGTGTTGCTTGTGCAAATCATATTCTGTTGTTATTTGTTCTATATTAGGTGGTCAACTGGCTACAGGAACAAAGTCGTTAGTGGTAGAATGATTAATAGTAGGGAGGTCCGATATTAACTGTTTTGCTAATAACTGACATGCCGACATCGTCCTAACACTTAATTTCTGATTCTAATATCAACTGATACCGATATAGCGGGACAGTGATGGAAGTTAACTGTTGCCTGCTCACTAAAGTGATGGGTTAAAACAGTGTTTTTCAACTATTTTCTGGCCCCCTAGGGGACAGAATTATAATACTCTCGAGTGCCTGGTATTATTTACAAACCACTGCAAACGTTGCTGGCACCAGAATTTTGCATGCAATCCCCTCAGTATCAATATAGATTAATAAAATAAGCTGTAATGCTGCCATCTGGTGACTAGAGGCTTGTTTAGCATTCATGTCATTCGTGTCTTTCGCTGTTAGATCATCTAGCACCTGCAGGAAGTGTATGTTGTCCTCAGTTTCAAGGATCTGCCGCAGCTCTGCGTCTCTGCGTTGCAGCTCCAGTATCTCCTGCTCCAGTCGGTCCAAGTAGCCCTCAGCCTGTGACATCGCCGACTGCATGTTGGCCATTATCATCTGATTTATTTCTGCCTTCCAGCGTTCAACTGCCTGAAGCATTTCATGGAAGGTCTTGTCACTCTCTGCCTGTGCTCGCTGGGCACAGCTCTGAAAGAACAAGTCATTCTCACTCACCAAAAATATATCCCTTTTTTTTAAAACAAATGAGGCCACAAATGCTCTAATATAAGGCATATGAAAATGTAAAAGAAATTGTATTTGACCAAGTGCTTGCTCTGGTCTTACTTTGAGAACATCCACGTTATGTTTGAGCTCCTGCAGCTCCTTCATTCTCTCCTGAATTATATGCTGAACCTCAGACTGAGTAATCACCAGCATTTTCTGAAGAAACAGCATACAAAGTGACAGACATAGTGATGCAAGAGGAGTTTTAGGGATAATAAAAAATAACCCACAAACAAACTAAAAAGAGCTTCATTTAAAACATTAGCTCAGTGGTTCTCAAACTGTGGTACATGTACCACCAGTGGTACGCGAGAGCTCTCTAGTGGTACGCAGGGAAAATTCATATTTTCACATTTACATTTTCAATTGAATAAATCTGAAACATACCACGCACAATTAATACAACATTTAAACATAAACATTTTTAAACGTCTCTCCTGTGGTGGAAGCTAACAGTGAAGGCCTCTGCTGCTGTATTCTAATGTTGGTCATCATGGTGGTACTCAGAGAGATCAGTGTTTTCTCAGGTGGTACAGAGTAGAAAAAGTTTGAGAACCACTGCTGTAGATTATCTACATAGAGTAAACAACGAAAACTTAAAACCATTACCTAACACACTCTGAATTTAAACCCTGTAAGTTCATTCATTTTAAATGTGATTGTTAGCTTTTTATTCTGAGCATTTGTCAACACTTGCTTGTTTCTCGACGCGCTCCTCCTCTGCCGAGGTGATGTTGTGGCTGCGGTGCTCTCTGACCGTACACAGCACACAGATGCACATCTGGTCAGAGCGGCAGAACAACTCCAGGCCTTTCTCATGCTGAGGACAGATCTTCCTGTCCAGATGGCCCGTCTCGTCGACCAGCTTGTGCCTCTTGAAGGTGGCGGACTCGTAGTGAGGCTTGACGTGCGTCTCGCAGTAGTACGCCAAGCACATGAGGCAGGACTTGACGGCCTTGCTGCGACGGCCAACGCAGAAGTCACAAAAGGACTCGCGGTGCATGTAGGGGAAGGGAGTGAGCTCCGGGAGATGCCGCCGTGGCTCCTGATTTACATCGGGCAGGTTTCGCCTCAGGACGGGTCGCGGCGTGAAAGTGGCACGACACTGAGGGCAGTTATACACACCCATATGGTCAAACTGGTCCCAGTAGATCTTGATGCACTCGAGGCAATAAGTGTCACCGCAGGGGATGGTGACAGGATCGATTATTGGGTTTACACACAGAGGACAGAAGTCATCAGGTGGTAAAGGAAAACTGCCTTCAGCCATGATGAGGTTTAAAAAGAAAGATTCCCAGAACTTGTTAAAGTTTAATCAAGAAAAAGTTACAAATAATGTAGTTCAGGCCTAGCAGTTGGAGTGTAATGTCCAGAATGAATCCAAACCACCATCTAGAGACAAAGCTGTTTTCTGTTGACACTTAAAGGCTTGACGTTGTTTCTAGTGTAAGCAGAAATTGGATCTGTTTCCATGGGAAAACCTTTATCGTTCCATCATGTGACGTGAAAAAACCAGAACTGAAAACATGGTGCAAATCTGTTTACAAAGCAACACATCATAGCATTTCACACAAAGGCCATGATGGCTGATGGAGTTGTCGGTCACTCCAACAGCCAGGTCTGTTTACGGTGTTCAGATACTACGGTATTTCTTGATAATAACTGATACCTCCATTACTACATTTGTACACAGTTCCCCAGAACATTTATTTTACACAGGTTGTTTACCAGGTGGTAAAAGTGCTTCATCTGCCAAAACCAAGTTGTTGTTGGTCGAGAATTTGACTATACAGGTCTGTGTGGGCGAGGGCAGACACAGACCTACGTCTATGGTTTTCCATTCGACTGGACGGTGAGTTTCATGATGGTGTTTGATATCAAAACAACCTGTGTTTATCAAACAAAAAACCTGGTGCTCAGTAAAAGTATGTGGGTGACCAGGATAGGCCATGTAAACTGAAGGCAGAGCACGAAGATTGGACTATTTACCTGAGCCTTGTAATATCTCTATTTAATGGAATAATATTTATTTGTTTACAAGTATTAGACTTTTCATTAATTCATGAACAAACCCTGCTGTACAACAGGTAACATTGCTCCAACTTACAAG